TCGGCTCTTTCTAGTTGCTAAGTGACTGGTCATTAAGCAAGGACTACCCGTGTTTGTATTTATTGTTGACTGGAAAATTTTAAGGTTTTTTTTTTTGCATAAAACAGTAAAAAGATGAATTTATGACCTATGGTTTCAATGATTAGATAGGACAGATTATAGAAAAAAAGAAAAGAGTCATGATGTAACTTTAGAGCAGAGGTGAGGAACTATGTCCCCTTTATGACTTGTGGACTTCAACACCCAGAATTCCTGTGCCATATTTAAAATATAAATAACAAACAACAAGAAGTAGACCTATATATTTCTTACCTTTTAACATTTTCACTTCCTAGTTCATCTGAGGGGGAGAAAAAAAAGAGAGACGTGCTTAATCCAGCTGGATGGGAATCACTGGAACTAAATCCAACACATTAGTAGACCAAAGATTGGGAAAGGCTAGCTCATGCAAACTATCCCCCAATGTTATAAGTGAAGAAACTTTAAATAACCTACAGCACATTTATGTAGCAGAAGAAATATCCCTATAATGACTTGTCTGCAACTTTGATAAAAAGAAATGCAGACAGATCAAGGCCTAAGGCCTTTCTCTTGCTCTTAGAAAAACAGTAGTTAAAGTCTTTTCCCCCCTTCAAAGTGAAGGGCCTACACTAGCATAATTTACTGTATATTTCCCAGTAGTTTAACATCTTTATTCACCTGTTTTGAAACCCCATCAAGAAACAACAGGCCTGCTTCAACAGAATATGTCCCCTGCATATAATAGCCCTTAGCCTATTTTCTTAGTACTCCTTAATGATGATCACATAGATACTATGAAAGTGCACTGCAAGGAATGCTCTGTTCTCCATCACTTTTCTTTTTTCAAGTTAAGTCCAGTATGAAGTTATTTGTGTTTCAGCAAATATGCTAATATGTCCCTTCATTCTGCTCTTGGGGAGTCCAAGACATTCCACAATGGGTAGCTAAGAAACAAAATTCTACTTGATTCAGCTCACCTTTACATTTGTCTGCTAAAGGAATTGTTGGGAGTGTTATTCCTCACCAAAAGCATATTGGTTGGAAATTGGGGGATTGCACACCTGCCACATTTACATATCCTTGGTATGCAGTTATTAGATGTACTATGAATCTTAGGGGATGGTCAATCCAGTTTGCCCACAGTCAGGTTGGCCATCGCAGGAGGCTCGTCCCGCATGTGCTGCAGACCAGGAGGATAGGGATGGGCCATGACAGCCAACCTGACCCTAGGCGAACCGGTTGTTAAATTATATGATTCCCACCATTGACTAAGATATATTAGATGTAAACTAATACGAATGTGAAGAGAGAGGGAGGGGGGGCAGAGAGAGAGATTTGAGTCCAGGTAAAAATTAATAGCTGAATTGGATGACTTTGACATACAGATGAAAGAATAAAAGAATAGAAAAAAAGCGCTTTGTTTGTCTTTTTTTCTGAGGACCATAACTGGACCTCTACCCAGATTTTATTGGAAATCATGGGTATCCCAAATAAAAGTGAGAATGGAGCATTGCTTCACACCTTGTTCAGAAATTCTACATATAACATTCGGGAAGTGACAGTCATGGAGTACACTTTATCAACAATAAGAAAGGAAAGCAAAGAAACTTTTTTTTTAAAGATTTTTGTTTGTGGTCCATTACTAAAATTTTGGACAGTGTGGGATTATTGGGAAACCTATACTATCATGGAAATAAATGAGGCTAGGACTCATAGCAGAGATATTTCCTCTAGATAGAAGTGGTTTCATATGTTTTGCATTACCATAAAATAGTTCATTCATTTTTTTCTTCCTGTATGATAACCCAAACTACAATGATAACACACCAGACTTGGTTATATGTGAAACAAAGTTTTTTACACAGTTGCTGACTAAGCTTTGAGAGCTTTATAAGACATAGGTCTAATTGGGACATTCCATTTATAGCATGAATGCTATTTTCTCCCACGGGACCATTATTTCTCTACCCAAGTGATATTAATATTTACCTTCTTGGCTTTGTTTCTGTTTGCGACACCTTACAATAAAGATGACCAGGATAATCAAGAGCACTAGGATCAGCACTATAGAAACTCCAATTATCACAGCAGGATGTAAAATGGGTTCATTCTCATTCATTTCTGGAGTTTGAGTACTTTTCATTACAACATCTTCAGTTTTGATTGGTGTTGTGGCATTTTGCTCTTCTGATTTATTAGCAGAAGTTGAAAATAAAACAGTAAATCCTACTTCAGGGACCCCAGTAGATAGTATACCATCACCAGACTGTTCATGATCTGCCATTGTACTTAGGGACTCTACAAAAAAGGAAAAACCATAAACCAATATTATTAATCTATTCATACTATTGTGAATATTTATATTTTGATCTCTAACATTCTTACAAGAAAATGATAAGTACAATGTAACTGTTCAAGAACTGCTATTGATAGTTAAATTATCATATTGGGGTTTCTCTCGCAACTATCTTCTCCCGATTGTGTAATGATTCATACTTCCTCTTTCGATAGATATTCATTTTCACCAAGTTTGGTCAAGGCTCAAAGGGTAAACGTTAAGGTAATAATCTTGATGTTGGATTGTCCAGTTGAATGTTCTTTTTGTGAATAACTACAAAGCATTCAGGAAAAAGAAATTAAACCCAAATTGTACAAACCTCAGTAGACAGTGACAAAAAGTCGAATTTAAAAACTAGCAGGTAAATTACTGGAAGTTTTTCAGTTAAGTACATGCACACATAGCAGGCAATTTTTTCATGCTTGTTTTTGAAGTTTAATTTAGCATTTGAGTATAATTGCATTATTTGCTTTTTCACTCAAATGATACATTTCTGTGAGTTTCATATTTTTAAATCAAATATGTGAGCATTTGCATTCTGCTTAGGTATCCCATAAAAAATCCTTGCCACATAGGTTTACTTCCAATCCATTTTCAAGCAAGAGTATTTTAAGCAATGGAAGAAACTCTCAATATTTCTGATGTTCTGCACATCCTACAATAATAAATAATCCCCCTCTTTGGTCTCTCAAACCTTCTGTGAGAACATACAGAAGTGGGTATTAAGAGGAAAAGCAAATAATGTTTAGGGGGTATGCCAAACCAGTCTTTGTGGGGTACTGATGGATTTCTACCACCAATCCCTTTTCTTTCTAGGACATTAGAAACCTAAATTTTCAGATACCAAATAGCTTGTTTTAAAATAACTGAATTACTGAACAAATCCTTACTCATTTGGTTTTATATGTACTAGTATTGTGTGGTTCCCTCTGATTTTTGTAAGAATGAACAAATGAAACTTATACACACATAGGTGTGNCTGCTACCTAGGATTGAATTTTCAACTTTCCATGAGAAACAGCATCTTCACCTGTAGGCCATCATGCTGCTCAACATTTCTGCTGCATTAATGGCCTATAAAGAGATGTCTTACAACTTCAGTTATACTGTTTAAATTTATGCTTAAAAGGACTAAAAATTAAAAGCAGTATTCATGTATTTCTTTTACAATAATTAATCTGCAATGTCTAAATTAGTATATTTTTATGGTTAATTGAAGAGAAGCTATACTTTAAATTTTCAAAATAAAATTTCTAGATCAAGCTTACTTTTTATTGAAACCATATGAAAACAATTGCATCTTTCGTGTTGAACAACAGTGCAAGATTTGCAGCTGTCTTGATCACTGCAGAACTTCTTATGAGTTGCACAAGTGAGTTACAACACCCATTCTGGATTCACACATAGCACTATCCATGTTTGTTTTAACAATGGCTATTGACTAATTTATAATTGTGAGATTCACTACAAATTGCAAGATTTGTAAACCACAATCTTTATATTCATATAACTAAGCCAAAAACCAAATATTATGGTTTAAGATGGTGTTTGAATCCAAACATTTGAAGTTAAACTGAAAATAGGGAAGACAGATAGTGTTACATGATTGTTTTTTTTAAAAAGGAGTACAAAGTTCATAGAACTTCCTGCCAGGTTTTTTGGGTGGGGAGAGTTATGCATAATATAACTGGAGAAATAAATTATCTGTTCAGATATCTGTAAATATAAGTCTCTGGTGGCTGTAGGTTTTTTCCCCAAACAGTACAGTAGACTGATAAAGTATGATAAGAATGTAGCTGCAAGTACATTCAGCCTTATAAACTTATGTATGCACAATAGCCTTACTGTTCTTTCCCTGGTGTTCTTCCTGAAATTCATGTTGTGTACTTGGGCATTTCAGGTTTTCTTTCATATTTATCTGTTGAGCATGCAGACTGCTAATAGTACAAGTTTCAGCAAGATTGGGATCAGAATTAGGGTGGAGTTGTGAAGCATATTCGCTGGAGGTTGAATTTAGGGACAGAGTTACAGACTGCAGACTCTTCAGTGTGACAGCACTGAAGTGTTTTCCTCCTACAAAACAGCATTCTCAAAACTCTGTTGCCTGCATTGCCCTCTGCTGTTTTGCTTCAAACCCATCTCTTGAAACAGAGGGCATTTTACATTGTTGGAGGATAGGCACCAAAAGCACTGTCCTTGCTCACTTCTACCTCTTCTCTTGCCATACATGATTTAACTGATAGGAATGGTGATTCAAGAAGAGTGAAAGTAGGGGAAGCAGTTCTTGGTGTTAGGGAACTGCTCCTAAAAAGCCTCATTTGCCCTCTTCCTACTCCTTGCTTCTCTGAGTTTGAATGGCCAGAGAAGCAGTGAGAAGAGCAACTCCTTTGGTGAAGTGATTCCTCGGTGGGACCAAGAACTGCTACTCGAATACCTATGCCCCCTGTCTTTAATCAAACTGATACCCTATATATTTGGATTAAGCAGGGCAACACCTAATCCATAGGTAGAAGTGTTTTTGACCAGTATCCCTTCTCTTAACCTGACCATCTTCTCACCTATTTTCTTTTGGGTTAACTCTACATCTTCCTCAATTCACCTACTGTCATTTCTAGTTCATAAGAACAATGGCAAGTCATATTTTTCTTCCTTGTTTTAACAAAAATATTTCACAATGAAGCCAATGACTTGCAAGTGTCCACAATATTACTTACATATTTTACTATTATCTTCTCTTATGATCCACTTAGATTCTGAATCTACCATATAAAGATGGCAAGGACTAACATTTCATATGGAAGTCACTCTCAGCACATCTTCTTATCATTTAAAAATAAAATGAAGAATGAGAGAACTATAAAAATAAACAAATAAATGGATAACTTCTTTCTAGCAACCATTGCATCTTCAACTCATAAAGTTGCCTTTCAGCAAAGCTCAGCTCTTATTCACATCATTTGTTTCCTTGATACTAACCTGTTTCCCTAAAAATAAGACCTCCCTTGATAATAAGCCCAATTGGACTTTTGAGCGCATCCACTAAAATAAGCCCTCCCCCCCAAATAAGCCCTCCCCCAAAATATTTATGAGAGTTCCCGCCATTTCCTGGGGGGCGGGAAGGGGGAACATGCCCCACATCCACACAGAACAGCCTTGTGGAGGCCATTCACACAAACACTAGCTTCCGTGCCTCTTCTCTTAGTGGCAGCCACAAAAAGAGTGGCAGGCTCAGTGACACTTGGGATAGCAAGAGTGTGCCAGAAACAGAGAAGTTCCAGCCCTCTCTGGATCAGCTGATCTGTGGGCCACGGGCTGAGGTTAAGGGGCCTCCTGCACC